TTACGAATAACATAACGTCATTATGTGAACAACTACTGGCTTCAACTTTTGTCTAATGTGAAACGCACTCTGTTTGCACTTTGAAAGGTGTCTTTATCGTACGCAGGTCAACCCGATTTTGCGAAAGATAATAGCGCCGTCTACGTTGAATATTCGAGCTTGACTATATTACCACCATTTGCGCCCTCTGGTGTTTAATATATTTTATCATTAGTGTATGGCACACTTTATGCTATACTTGATTTTTTTTTTCAAGAAGAAAGGAACTCCATAATGAAGTTAAAATTCGAAACAATAATTTAGTTTACAATTTTTATGTGTCGCGCGCACAAAAACAGTTTACGTCGTATATAACGCTTTACGTGTGTTGACCTCAAACGTATTTCCCCTGAAAGTTGGAGAATACGCGTCTTGTAATGGAAATTCGCTTACATTCCTATTGGACCATATTAAGTGTGTTATATGGACGTATAAAAACTATGAAGTGGGATAACCGACCTGGAATGACATGAACAAACTCCCCTTCCATACGCAACATCTTGACCATGTAACCAAGCACATACTTTCTCATCCAAGGTGATACAGGCGTGTGCGCTGGTCCCTCGATGCCAAAATCGAAGTACTGCCACAGACATCCCAGTGCATATGGCCACTAACACCATAGATATAATACTGTATTGTGCTGAAAAAAACAACGATAAATTGATGAGGTGGACTTTATAAGAACATTTGTTAGCGTGTTTTGTTCATGATACAGGGAGTGACCGCTATGGGTTTTTTTTTAACTTAAAATCAATGTTGCAGCCACACCGCTTGACCATTTTTACAATAGTTCATATTAGCCGCTATCAACATACAATGTTTATCACGTTGATCTGAGTATACAAGTCAATGTAACAAGATGTTATTTATTTCAAGAGCTTTTTTGGTCACATAGATGACAAATACGGCCATCCAATGGTTCATGTCTGGACACGCCCAGTTTCCATGCGCATGGGCAGAATTAAAAATAAAAAAATATCAAGAAACAACCTATAAGTTCTCTCCTCAAACCGAGACTAAAATTTGGCATACGATCGTAACTATGGTTCACCAGACACTATACATACCACCCAACTGTTTTGCTCTGCTGTGGACAAAGTCGACAGGGCGGAACTATTCTAAAAAACGTCCAATTAAAAGGGAGATATTTACCTATTAAGGGGATACTACCCGATGTCGGTGGCATCATTGCACTGGATAGTCCCAGAAAAAGTGCCATAGACAGTAGAATTGTAACACACAGGCTAATCTAATGGTATTAAAAACAAATATATAATAGAATAGAATATATAGTTTTTCATTCTATTGCATTATCTATACAGTCATTGTATATATAAATGTATATCGTGTAGTGAGTATGTTCCAACGTATAATGACGTCGGGAAGTGGCCTCAGTGTATTGTACACAATGCAACGAGAACTGGACATAATGTATCGACACTTGGACATAATGTATCGGCAATTGGACATAATGTGTCGGCAATTGGTCACAATGTATCGACAATTTGACATAATGTGTCGACAATTCGACATAATGTAACGACAATTGAACATAATGTATCGACAATTGGGCATAATGTATCGACAATTCGACATAATGTAACGGCAATTGGGCATAACGTATCGGCATTTGGGCATAATGTATCGACAATTCGACATAATGTATTGACAATTCGACATAATGTGTCGACAATTCGACATAATGAAACGACAATTGAACATAATGTATCGACAATTGGGCATAATGTATCGACAATTGAACATAATGTAACGGCAATTGGACATAACGTTTCGGCAATTGGGCATAATGTGTCGACAATTCGACATAATGTATCGACAATTGAACATAACGTAGTTTGGAACAATTAGCCGGAAATGTGACACTATATATCGTCAATTCTTAAAGATGTATCGGCAATTGGAATCTATATATTAAATTTGTTTTCAATCATTCAATTATTTTCTACCCAGTGGCGCAAATAAATATTGATCCCACTTTTCGATGCAATCATATCCAATGATTAAGATCTTGGCTTAATAAAACACAATCATTCTGCTAGATGCAAGAGAGAAGCAAACTATCCCCCAATTAGATGTTATCTCTACAGCGAAAGCTGTAAAAGATGAAAGCCGCCGCGTCGATATTTCTGTCAGCCCAGTACTGTCATGCCCGTCTCTTTCAAAGTGACAGGCTTACAAAGTAAAATTTAATTGAAATTATGCCAACCCACACTGGGAGTGAGTCTAATTCACTCTTGACAAGGCGCCATGAACTCACCGTGACTGTGCAAATATTATGTATACTGAAATTGTAGTAGTGGTTCAATCTCGCGATAACTATAACCATCGCATGATTGATTGATTTATTTATTTTATGTGGGTAAGCCTTACCTTTTCCCCGGAATCCGGCGGTAATGAGAAACTGGCGAAGGAGATGCAGAAGATGATGAGGCACGGAATAAGAAGATTCAAGAGGTAATACTGTGGCTGACGTTGCAAATGTAGAACCACATTTATATAGGAGAAGAAGCCGTCAGTAAAATTCTTTTCGTCGCTGTTTAAAATCACATTGTGAACTATAAACTCGCCCTCGTTCATGTCCGAATTAATATGCTCGCTACCTTCCATGACGTGCATTTGGATTATGCTGGTATCCATGATAAATGGTCCGAACTCTAGAACACATATTTGCTCATCCAGAGGAAAAAAGAAAAAATCGATTTTGCAGAAACTGCTGATTGTCACTGGAGCATCGTATTGGATGGTACCCGTGTAGTCAATGCTAAGTATTGTGTCCGTCATAACATTGTTGCTCTCTGCACTGTGAATAAAAACACAAATCGTAAATGACATAAATGTTCAGTAAACATTCTTCTCATTTGCATACAGGAACACCTTTCTGCCATTCACCGTACTTTGCCGCTTGTTTATCTACTGCGATAAATCAAATAATTACACCATCACTCTAATTAAAGGGTTATAGAAACACATTGATAGTATTTTAGGTACTTCTATCAGCGATCTTGACACTTTTCAACAGAACATATCGGCAAGCAGTGGATGCGCTCTGACGAGGTACCTAAACTTCTGACAAAGTATTGAAAAAAAAACGCTAAACAAACAAACAAACAAACAGTGCCGTGAAAATGTCTTCTCTTCATGCATGTGAACAGAATTACATTTTATTTGTTTTCTAAAATTATATAATCTGACAAATATACCCTTTAGAATTGTTTTCAAGATTTTTGAAAAATACCACATCTTGATTATTTCCCCAAAATAAACCTTTTTATTTGTGCAGACATTCGCTTTGGCAAGAGCACACTGCGTAATTTTATATGGGAGAATGTGTACCAACTGTCTTTGTGATGACAGACCCGGTGGTGGTGGGTGGTGGTTGGGTGCTTGGTTGGTATAGAGTTAACGCGGAGAAGCGAACCTAACGCATTACAAATATAATAAAGTTGCGGGGAATAGAAATTTTGATATTTGCATACGTGACTTTAAAATTTTTAAATTGTCAAATGACTGACCTATTAGTACATATCGAAACTATTAAGAATGATCATATTTTAAACAATTATCAGAAAAATTAATTTGTCAATTCACCAAACGAGCAATGTTTTGGAACTTTAGGAGATGACCAGTCGATGACGTCAAAATCTCAAATTGTGTATAATAACCAATCAATATGATAAATAAGAGATGTGAAAATAGTAAAACGTCATAAGTTGAAACTTGAGTTGAAACATAATAAAATGTCATACTTGTTCCATAGGCCTATAGGAGGAGTCCAGATTTTAGAAGACGAATTCCACAATTTCTCAATACCAACATATTCAGCTGGATCCCAGATCAAGTGCTCATCTTTCCAATTCTGCCAATTAATTGCATATTTTCATAGTTAGTCGGACTGACACGTTATCACTGAAGAAGGCAAACACTAAACATAGATTTGGGGAAAAGAAGGAAAGGAACCACTGGATTTTGTTGATGCAATCTGAATCAATTATGCAAATTAGTTTAATGGTTAATGATCTTGAGATGGTCACTGTGTGAACAAGTTAATCCAGTAACAAATTGCAGAATAAATAAATAAAATAAATAAATATCATGAATTTATATCATTCTTCTATAATACCATCTATGAATTAATATGGTGAGTTGCAGTGCACAACATGTTGGAGAAGAATTTATGTGTGTACTTAAATATCAAAGTGGAAATCCATAATATTGAATTTGAATTATATGTCAAAAGGTAAATATGTAAAATATACATGAAAAAAAAACATTAAAACTTCTACAGGTGTTAACCAATGACAATCGGATATAATGTGATCATAATATATATGTCAGCTAGGAGAGAAAACATGTAATCGCCCCTAGGTACTTACCATTTTAAGACCAGCAGCAAATGTGAATATCTGTAGCCGTTCATCCTGTTAACAAATAAACAGATTAATAGTATAGTTGACAGTTTTTATACTAAAATATTAAGTACACATATATATTATATTAAAGCGATATTAATGATGGCGTAGCTGTAACGTCAAAGGTATGTACAGTTTTTAGTTGATATAGAGTGAGTGAATGACCATACAGCTCTTTCCCGCGAATAATTACAAAAGTGAAAACAAATGAATATATTATTTCTTACCAGGTCGATAACTTGTTGCAGCCAAAAAGAAAAGTTCACATGCGTGGGAGTGGTCGTGTACTTGACGGGTCTCACGGTCGGGTCATAATTGCCCATAATCGTATCCGTTAATTGTTTTTGTATATCCACAGCATCGGCTTCTGTAAAACATACAAATATGAGAGCAAAGAATCGCCGAATACACCATATTTATAAGTCAGGCCCTCTAGTGGTGAGTCGCGTCTGTGATGTCAAAATGACGTATACGGGTAATTGCTTTGACGATAAAATCGACAAATGTGTTTGATGTAGTCGTTTGTCATTACAATATAGTAAAATATCTCACAAACATAATCTTTATTAATTAACGACTACAGATCAAAACCTAGGGACTTCGTGCCGTCTATTTAGGTAATACATTTTCCTCGTCACTAGAGGGCGTACAGAACAGGTTCATTGTACACGTTCTCGTGGTCAATCGATAGTAGGCCTACCTTGGGAAAAATCATCGTGTTGCTTTCTTCACTAAACGTTTTTCTACTTATTTGACCTATGGATGGATCCTCAACTATAGCCGACATGGAGATCTAGTTTATGCTTTACATCGATGACGTAAGTGTACCTTCAACTTACCGTGTAAAAGCACCACCGAATTAAGAATTCCTGTTAGTAGAATGATACTGCTGAAATACATGTTGAAAACGAGGGTGTATTTAGTCAATCTTGAACCTAGTGGATTCCTGTAAAAAATAGAACAACATAACACATTAAGCTATTTCTGTTAAAGTGAGGCGTATATTATGGAGCAAACAATTAACAACGGCGGACAAGAAAACCATTATTTCAGTTATGAGGGGGTAATATCATAATTATTGGTAGCATTAACAGTTATCATATTGCAAAATTACGAGTAAGCTTGTTTCAATCACACACTACTTGATTATTCGGGCATGAGTACAATTAT